ATACCATGGAGCGGTTAAAAAAGGAAAGGTAGATACATAAACAGACACAGGAAGATGTCCCATTGTTAAGTGAAGTAAAATCATTAAAATTAAGTAAATGAAGTAAAAAAAAAAAAAATTAAGACCTAGAACAGCATGTGTACTATGATCCTATTGTTTTTTTTAAACTTATCTATCTTCCAAACTACCTACCTACCAAACTGTGCATAAACGTGCCTGCAAATTCATATAAGCAAGTGACAGACTAACAATCCCTTATCTGAAGCCTCAGAACCAGATGAGTTTCAAAAGTCAGGTTTGTTCAGACTGTAAATGTAAAGGGGGGCTATACCATACAGTAAGTAACACCTCCAGGAGGGTCCGGGGCAACCCTCTTAATCAAACTCACCGTATTTCTGTCGCGAAATGCGTGACTACTCACAGTAGTGGGACAGATAAAGATGACAAATAGCCCCACACTTGTTCAGGTCACGTTTACTACCCAAATGAGGTCAAGTCAGATTTTGTGGTGAAATGAAGTCAGGTCAGGTTTTGCTATAAAGAATTATGGGGGCGGAACCTAAAATACCCCTTGGTTCTGGATCAACCATGATTATAGGTGGGGTGGGGAGAGGAAGAAGGAAGGGTGAAGAGGGTCTGACATTCCTATTCCACATTATTCTGTTAGTTTGAATATTTTCACAGTAAGAATGGATTTGTGTATTAGTTGAGGAATTAAAACCCATGTGTAAAAAAAAAAAAAAAAAAGATGGCTTCAGAGATGATACAAAATCCCAGAGGTGGTAAATAAGAGGCAAAAGGCCACTACAAATCTGGGGACTGCCCCAGGAGCTCCTGGAAGCATCCCGTAAATACTTCTTGAAATAGTACACAGGACATGGATAAGAAGTCCTGATTCTCAGATACCCTTCCTGTATTTGCTGACCGCGTGTCTGTCTTGCTACGAAAACATTTACTGAGCATTGCATAGGACAAGCACCTGAGGTTCTAGAACTCAGGGTTTTTTTTAGAACTGATGCTCTGCCTATCCCTGTTGTTCGGTCCAGTGGCCCCGGGCACACCTTCCACAGTGAGGCTGTGTGAGAAGGTATTAAATGAAGCACACAACTGTCTACATCCTGCTACCCTCACGGCCTCAGCACCAGGCTCACAGGCTTCCTCTGTCCTCCCCCCGCTGGGCCCCGCAGCCTAGGTTCTTCACCTTCATGTCACACTACGGAGCCGGCCCCCCGCTTCTCTCTCACGACGCTCCTCCTCTCTGGCCACACTGGGATAGTCACTGTTCTCGTGCGCACTCCATACTCTCCACCCTCAAGCCTTTGCTCATGCTGCTCCCTTCACCTGGAACGTTCTCCCTTCACATCTCTTCCCACCAGTCTCTTAACCATCTTCTCAGGCTCTGCCTCCATTAAAGCTTTTCTGGTTCTCCCATCAGCCCTAATCCCTCCTTCCTTTGAGCCACCTAAGAACTTTTCCTTTTATGGCACTGCCTTCGCCTTGAACTCTGGCTATCTGTGGATGCCTGAATTCACATACCAGATGCCAAGCCTGGTGAAAACGCCCCGTGCAAGGCAGGCCCTTCAGGCTCACCTGCTGAACCAACACCTTCACAGTTCATTCACAGACTCCAAAAGCTAACAAGGTCAAGGTCTTGGAATCAGCCAGCTTTGCTATGATCCATTTTATGGCTGCTGGGAACAATCCTAATCCTGGTCATGGAGGGAGTGTGTGAGTCTGTGCAACACTAGATAAACAGTGTGCCCAGTGCATCTCGTGCATATGCACGAGACTTTTACAAAGAAATGTGTTGGAATACAGCTGCCCATCCACCTTACGTGTTACCTAATGTAACCCTCACAAAAATGTCTAGAGGAAGGTATTTTCCTATTTCAAAACAAAGACTAAGGTTTTAGATGAGTTGACTAAGACTGAAACAGATTAAGCAAGGCTACCCAGCAGTCAGTGTTAGGACTGAGATTTTTAATCTGGGTCTGACTCAGAGACCAGCGCTCTTTTAATTACCCCACATTTGCAAACTTGTATATTTGTGACTTTTATTCTTACCGCTATGTTCCCCCCCCCACATTGATGAGGTCACAGGCACAATTACACCTCATAGCTCACGAGGGTAAGCTCTTTTTATGTTTTTTTTTTTTTAAATCAAATTTATGAGTCAAAAGGAAGTAAAACAATGCTATTGTTAAAAGGGATTCTAGGAAAGCTCACTGGTCCTTCCTCAGCTTTTCCCTCCTGCAAATGATCTGAATTGGACAAACCTGGATCAAGGGCGGCCCTCCATTTTCAATACTTCTCTTCAATCCTAATTACCTGGGATGTGATTATTCTTATTGTGGACTTTGTAGGCACCTTATTTGTGTTTTAATGACAATAAATAATTATTGATACACTAACTATTGGTGTTGACATACTGATATCAATTTACTATTGATATACTTATTGATGTATTTACTCACCCCCTACAGATTGACATCTTTCCCAGAACAGTAATAGCCAAGGGAGGTGGGAAGTCTCGATGAATCAGAGAGGAAATAACCCTAAACTGGGAGTCAAAAAAAACTGGTTCCATAGCTCCCAGTGACTAATTACTATGTATTCAAGTTAATCTCCTGCTAGGCTTCACTTTCTGTATCTGTATAAATTAAGGGTGGCTCTAGATTCTGAGACTCCTTTTGGCTTGGCATGCTTGCAGACACTAGTCTTTTATAATATATAGTATAATAGGTTAGACAGCCTGTTGGCCTTTGGTATCACAAGAATTCTAGAATGGGGCATGTTCTGTATTGGTTTGATGTGATTTGAAATCCACTTGTTCTTGACAAAGGCTAATAAAGTGAAGCTGTTGTTAGAAGTAGTGGTTTTGCTGGAAGAGTGAGGTAAACTGTACTGAAACAGCATGTCAACATCTGGTCATCTGCTCCTTTGCCCTTGATACTCAGTAGCTCAATTGCTGAGGGCCTCTGGGTGTCTATCAATAAAAACATGAAGGAGCAATACCGAAAGTTTGAGAGGACCATCCAATGGGTGAGGGGACTCGGCCCATTAAACCAGCACTCTGAAGCCCTTGGGGCAATTAGCTTTTGCTTCAGTAAAGGTGACTCTACTCTTTCCAGAGCAGCCACCAGCTGGGGAATAAAGAGTACACTTCAGGGGCACCTGGGTGGCTTAGTCGTTAAGCGTCTGCCTTGGGCTCAGGTCATGATCCCAAGGTCCTGGGATCAAGCCCCAGTCAGGTTCCCCGCTTAGCGGGGAGTCTGCTTCTTCCTCTCCCACTGCCCCTCCCCCCCAAGCTCGTGTGCTCTCTCTCTCACTCTCAAATAAATAAATAAATAAAATCTTTAAAAAAATAAGTGAAAGTACATCTCAACTGAATTTGGGCTTTCTTTCTTTCAGATCCCCCTTGACTGGAACAATAATGGGATTAATCTATCATTGTTTGGGAGTATGTTGTGTATTGGTTTATGAAGGGGCATTATCCTGTATGCTACAGGCTTGTGAAATACCCATAGTGAATCTGGGTTAAAGAAATTGCTGCCAAAAGAAACAGTCTCTGAGCATTAATTTGCCATGAAACAAAACAAGACAGAACTCTCAAAGCTTCCACCCTGCTCCTTATTCTTGCCAGTAGTTTAGAATCTAGTCTTCCTTGGGTGTTGCCAGGGTGATCTATCTTTCTTTCTTAAATTTTTTTTATTTGAAAGAGAGAGAGTAAGAGAGCACATGAGAGCGGGGAGGGTCAGAGGGAGAAGCAGACTCCCCGCTGAGCAGGGAGCCCGATGCGGAACTCGATCCAGGATCAAAACCTGAGCCAAAGCCAAAGAAACAAAGCCACCCAGGCGCCCGTTTCTTAATTTTTAAAAATTATTTATTTGTTAGAGAGAGAGAGGGAGAGATTGCGAGCGCACACGTGGGGGGAGGGGCAGAGGCACAGGGAGAAGCAGCCTCCCCAATGAGCAGGGAGCTCCCTGCGGGGCTTGATCCCAGGACCTGAGCCAATGGAAGGCAGACGCTTAACCAAGTGAGCCACCCTGGCGCTCCCTTCTTAACTTTATAAACAAATATGCTTTCCTTCCTTCTGACTATAGAAGAAACATATGTTCATAAGCAGATAAACTGGAAAATGCAAAAAAGTAGAAAAATGAAGACAATCATTCATAATCTCATCTGGGATTAACAATCCCAAACATATTCTGGGATATTTCTTCCACACATTTTTCTACATGTAGCTTTCTTCCCCCCTATAATTGAAACCATGTTGTATAAATTGTTTTACATTCTGGTGGGTTTGTTTTTTTCAATTGTCATTAACAGGTTTTTCCGGATCTGAAAGCTCATCCTGTTTCCTGGTTTACTGGTGACGCTTCCTAGTTCATTTCTCAGGGATTAGGCTTTGGGGCTGTTTCTCTAGTTTGCTATTATAGTTAAGTAAACCCGCAAGGCACAGAACTTTTTTTTCTCTTCTCAACTTCCGCGCAACTTTAAAGATTTTATTGATTTATTTGACAGAGAGAGACACAGCGAGAGAGGGAACACAAGCAGGGGGAGCGGGAGAGGGAGAAGCAGGCTTCCCGCGGAGCAGGGAGCCCGATGCGGGGCTCGATCCCAGGAGCCTGGGATCCTGACCCGAGCCGAAGGCAGACGCTTAACGACTGAGCCACCCAGGCGCCGCTTTAAAAACCCACTCCATTACACAGAATTAGGGGGCAGCGGTTAGCGCGGAGAGCAATTCCTCTCACTTTACGAAAAGAATCCAATATAGAGGGCAATTCTGGAGTCTTTAGAGAGATTTACTTACTTAGCATTTAGAAAGACAATGGGTCTAGTCGCATACAGGGGTATTTTTAGGGCGGGGTAATTGTTTTAACCTTCGCAGGGCTCTGGCCCTGCAGCAATGTGAAGCGCCCAGAGGCAGCTTCTCAGCGGGGGCGCGCGCCCCCTGCGGCGCCGACCTTCGCGCTCCGGCCCGGCGCCGGCTCCCTTACCTGGGCAGCGCCGACTCCGCCGTGCGGTCCAGCGCGCCGGCCACCGAGGGCAGCGCCAGGACCCCGTCCAGGTCGAACACGGCCGCACGCAGCGCCATGGCGACCCCCCCAGGCACAGAGCGCCCGGAGCCGCACGGAGGCCGGGAGCCGGATTGGAGCGGCTGGCCGCCGCGCCTCCCCTCGCACTGGTCCCCCGGGCGCCGCCCCGCCGCCGCCCCGCCCCGCCCCCGGGCCAGCTCCCGCCCGGCCGGCGGCCCACGGGGTAAGCCCGGGTTCTCTCTCCGCCGCCTCCAGGCGTCGAGCTCCCGGGCTTGAGTCCCCCGATGGCTGACCGCTTCACACGAATTTGCCAGACTTTCACTGGGCCGGGGGCAGGCCTCAGGGTAGGGGTCTGAGAAAGAGCCAGGGGCCACAGACCCTTTAAAGTGTGTGTGTGTTTGTGTGTCCCTTTAAAGCGTAAGTGTGTGTGTGTGTCCCTTTAAGGTGTGCGTGTGTGCGTGCGTGTGTGTGTCCCTTTAAAGTGTAAGTTGTGTGTGTGTGCGTGTGTGTGTGTCCAAAAGCTTCATTCAGTGTTTGGTCCTTACATGTTCCTTTCCGTTGGCATATCCACTAAACTATTAGCTTTGTTGCCCCTCCTTTTGGTGCGTATATTTACAGATGCCTCACTATCCTGTTTTTTTTTTGTTTTTTTTTTTTAAGATTTTATTTATTTATTTGAGAGAGAGAGCGCACATGAGAGGGGGGAGGGTCAGAGGGAGAAGCAGACTCCCCGCCGAGCAGGGAGCCCGACGCGGGACTCGATCCCGGGACTCCAGGATCATGACCTGAGCCGAAGGCAGTCGCTTAACCAACTGAGCCACCCAGGCGCCCCCAGCTTTGTTTTAAATCACAGATTCCACACTATTGGCTCCTTTGTTTCTGGACTTTGCTTAGGAGTGTCTGAGTTGTACTTGCCTGAGGATTGCTGGACTCCTCATGCCTGTAGTGTAGCTCTGTGAATTAAAACATGCTTTGGGCCTAGTGTCCCAGCTTGCCAGGAGCATGCCTCAAGACACAAACACCAGAGACTTCTCTGTTGAATGTGTCATCTGTGAATTTATCCAAGATATTCTGCCCCATTTAGCTAGAAGAATGGTGTGAAAGATCATCAGATACCTTACTGAAATCAAGAGGTATTCATCTACAACATTCTTTGTATCTACCAATTATCAATCTGGAGAAGAAGAAAAATGAGGCCACTTTGGGTGTTTTGCTCAGGTGAACTATGACCATGCTTACGTCTCTTGCCTCCTAACTTCATCCGGGATCTGCCTGAGGCTGTTATTAGTGCTTTCTGAAATCCACCCCTACAAAGTAGGAAGTAGGAAGTATGTAGTCAACAATGCCAAATTTAGCAGAGGGAACTGGAAAGAGCCATTCGATTTTGGATTTGGATGACACTGGGCGACCTCCTTCAGAACACTTTTATTAGTGGTTTTGGAGATAGGAGCTAGATTACCTGGGTTTGAAAGAGGTAAAGAAGTGACTACAACAATCTCTCATGAAGTTGGTGATCTCAAAAGCAAAACTGAGCCTTAAAAAAATAATAATTAAATAAACAAATTGCAACATGGCTTGTAGAGTATGAACCCTCTTAAATTAAATCTCCAACTTAGACTTTCCTTTGGTCTCCAAACTTGCATATCCAACCTCCTACTCCACATCTCCTCTTGAATGTCCAACAGGTATCTCGAATTCATCATGACCAAAACAGAACTCTTGCTGCATTCCCACCTCTCAGGCTTGTTCTCCCCAGTACGTTCCTAGTCTTACTCAATGGCACCCCCATTCACTTAATTACTTAGCCCAAAGAACTTGGAGTTGCTTCTGGATTCCCCGCTCCCCTTTAAGCTGTGTGCTCTTGAACTCAGTCCCAGTGGTGTCCCGTTGATTAGGGCAGAGGTAATAGCTTCAGGTTCAGTGGTGTTTTTTGGCCGTCTTTCTTAAAGGCTCACCCGGGAGCTGACTTCTCCACTACTTTCAAAGGTTTTGTAGGTTCCTAATATCCCGTATTAAAGCTCTCTCTATTTAATAACTAGAGGGATTTCTGCTGCCTCACTGGTGTACCATTTAGGAATACATATCCGTATATGTTTGTAAACACAACAAAGCAAAGAGGAAGGACACATTGACAGAATTGGATTTTATAAATCCCCCTTTTGAGAAGGAAAGTAAGAAACACAGAACACGAGACCCCATTTTAAGATGGGGATCATTGCGGGTTAAGAGGAAACTATCAGCTCCTACAGGGACCTTTGTTTATTCAGGAGCGGTTACACTGATAAAGTGATCTAGTCTGGAATATTTTGTAATACCATATGAGTTACAGAACTTCCTGGCCGAACTGCTTAGACAAGGTTTAGTGGTCTCAATCCTTTTACTGTGCTCTGCTCTTTCTCATGGGTCACACTTCCCCTAGGTTTTCTGCCAGCCAACATAGAGGAAGGTTAGAGCTCACTCAGCTGGGCTCTGGAAACAGGGTATCTTTTTAAAATGTAAATCGCAACCCTTTTGTCTGCTAATTTTAATATTTATCAAATGCATTTGAGGTGCTAGCATGAAATCATAAAAACATGGAGAATGTGGTAGTGCAAATGCAGAAATTACACCTCATGCTAATCACTAGATTTGCAATGAACTCACATAAACTTCTATCTGGTTTTGTTTTAGATTTCCTGTCACTGCACCCTTTCCCACCACCTGCTAGACCTTGGTTTTCCAACCCCATTTTAAAACTCTATTTAATTCCTGCTGGTTGAGAAAGGATCTCACACTGCTGCCTCTCCTACTGTAGGTGTTTGAATCAAGCGAAATTAAAGTTGTCTCTGGTAGCTTTTTAAACCCACATTCCACCTGATGCTTTGTCTTTCTTTAGTGTAGCAAATGAATTTCTTTAATTCATTCAGAAAATTATGTATTAAGCACTTTCTGGGCACTTGGGATTCATTGGAAAATACAACAGACAAAATTAGGGACAAAGAAGCTTCCATTGTAGTGGAATGATGAATTCAAGGAATTTCTAGTTGCTTCTGGGGCAATGAGAATGACGTTAGTAATATTTATCGAGGCTACTTGTCATTTTTCTTAGTTGGTTTTTTGTTTTGACTGCCAAACATCTATAACCTCTTCCTATATTTGAGAAATCCTACTCTACAGTGGACATCTGTCATTCAGAGATGCACAGTATCCTTCAAACATCTATTTTGATAGTTTCCACATTTTGAGTTCTACCTTCGCAAGCTAGACTCCACAAACACCATTTTTCCTGGGCTTCCTTAATGCTGCTCATATGACTTGGGCTCTTCCCATCAACCTTCTGGCCTGAGATTTGGGTAACAAATGTACCAACAATGGCAAAGCAGACGCATCTAGTTTTTCTGGAGAGGATAGTATGGAGCTTCTCCAGTCTAGTCCTGGATACTTGATATGGATGCAGTGGCACAATGATGGCTTCATAAAAATTGTAATGGCATGGTTTGCTGTCACTACGTTGTTCTTGGCTGTGTAGTTTCCAAGCCTGCTTCTCTTGTCCTCCCTGAGATTCTGTGAGCCTGCCTTGAGCTAGGGTGAAGGTCTGTGAGTTAGGCTCAGCAAATCAGATGCACCCAGATAGCAGGAGCTGGTAAAGGGAAGAGGGACAGAGGAGAGGGTTTGGGTTGGCAGTTTTGGGACAGCAGCAGTATCCAGGGGTCCCAGCTGGCAGGAATGATACAGGCCTCAGCATTCAGCAACAGGAACAGTGGTGTGTTCCCAAGGCTGGTTCTGGTGTGTGAATTTGGTGTTGGCCTTCTCTACTGCTGGTTTTCCAAGTTTGGTTCTCCAAGCTTCCTAAGAGCCTCACCAATAGCCTATCATTAAATATATTCTCTGCCTAAATCAGCCAGCATAGGCACCTCTCACCACTTACCAATTCCCGAAACCCTTCTTACTGTGCCTTCTGGAACCTTCTGGAACTCACCATGCCCTCCGGAACTTCAGGGTCATTATCAGCAAGATCCACTCTTTTCCTCAACCTCTTTTCTATTCTCTTGCTCTTCTCGCTCGATCTCAAATGTGGCTCTCCTCTGAGGCACCTACTTTCCCTCTTCTCCCTTCCTCCCCTTGTGTGCCACTGACAGGGGGAGAGGGGGAAGACCTTTTTAGTCCTTATCGCTGCTCCCAAATCCTCCCTAAGACCCATAACATTAACCTCACCTCAGCCGATTGTACCACTCTGGACCCAACTACTCTACTACTCTTCCCTAGTCAGCTCTCTCTCCTGATCTCCTGGGAGACCAAAGGACACATTCCTTTCTCCCCTCAGTCGCCAATGCTTTCCATCCTTCCTCGCTCTTGGCCAGTCTCTTTGCTTCCCATTTCACTGAGAAAATTGGAGCAATCAGAAAACTTCCACAAACTCCCACCTCTCTATTGATTCATCTACCTGTACCTGTACCTTCTCTCCAGCTACCCTGAACAGCTGCCTCTGCTCCTGCCTAAGGTTGACTCTTCCACTGAGGCATTGAATTTGGTACCCTTGTAGGCAGAAGGACAACTTCTCACTCCATCATCCATGATGTCCTCTCCTGGATCATCCCATTCACATGCCAACTGTTATGGACTGGATGTACGTGTCTCCTCCCCCCCAGATCTGTATGTTGAAGCTCCAACCCCCAATATGATGGTATTTGGAGGTAGGGCTTTTGGGAGGAAATTGGGGTTAGATGAGGTCATGTGGATGGGCCTCATGATGGGATTAGTGTCCTTATAAAAAAAGACACCAGAAAGCTTGCTCTCTTGTTCTGTGCAGACACAGAGAGGTCATGTAAGCACAAAGCAAGATGATGGCCACCTACATGCCAAGAGGCCTCAGAATGAAACCCTCCCTGCTGGCACCTTGATCTTGAACTTCCAGCCCACAGAACTGTGAGAGAGAAATTTCTGTACTTTAAGCCACCCAGTCTTTGGTATTTTGTTATGGCAACTCAAGTAGACTGAGACACCAACAGTCTGTAACTTCACTTATTAAAAAAAAAAATGAATAAATCTATGGAGAGCCCACATTTCTCTCCCACTGCCATCTTATTTCCTTCTTTTCCAGCAAAAGTCTTTCAGAGTTGTTGAGGCTCATTGACTCTAAGCCTTCTTGGCCCATTCTCCCCCGAACTCATT